GAAAGAAAGTCGAGACTTGGGCCTTGAGGGTCGTGAGGTTGCCTCGGACCAAGGAGAATGACATGGACATGGCTGGGTCCGCCTTATTGAGCGATAGTGTGCATGAGTTCTTTGCGCCTTGGTACAAATGAGGGTTTGGGCACAAAGACACGGTCAGTAAAGCACCAAAACCCGGGAAAACCCGGTCAGCTTTTGGACACTTTGGCTCGTGCCCAACCGTTCGAGCCCCGCCTGAGCCACCAATTGGTGCCGAGGATGAACACGAGGAAGGCGTCCTGGAGCGAGAGAATATGATCCGTTGCTTGGTTTGAAGAAGCCGTAGAACGTGCAGATCGGAGACCCTAACTTTGACAGGATCATCCCCATCGGGTTTGTGATGGGTTCGTTTGGAAACGAGGCTTGAGACCACTCCAATGTGGAAAATTAATTTTACTAGCGAACCTTGTTACTACTAGTAACAAGTGCCACGCTAGTAGTAACAAGTGCCACGCTTAGTAGTAACAAAAAGCTATTAGAATTAATTTTAAAATTAAAATTAAATTAATAGCTTCTTGTTACTACTAGTAAGGCACCTGTTACTACTAGTAAGGCACTTGTTTCTAATAGCTTCTACTAGCCTGATGTTTTATGATGTTTTTACATTTTTCATACGCCAATTTTTTTTGCAAGTGATCGAATCACAAAACTTAGCGATCAGGCAGGAACTGGGCATCGACTCATGGACAAATTCCGGGATCCTGGCATGATGCTGATGTGGACAACAACTTTTGTTGTGCCTTCAGTACTTCAGTGAAAAGAACCATGGCCAGTCCTTTGCAAAAACCATCCCTTTGCATAGGACAAAGGATCCCTTTGCAGGGAAAAGCTGGAGACACAGACAAATCGCCTCTCTTACTCAGGGTCACCTGAGGCCAACAACCCGAGAACGTTTCCTTGAGCTTGAGCTACGAGAGCGGCAGGCAACTTGACCCGATCGGATGGACCACGGTTTAGAGAAACTACTAGTAGCGTCCTTGCTCCTAGTAGCGATGCCCTTTGCTCCTAGTAGCTTCTTTCTCCTAGTAGTAAGGCCAGGAGCCCCGCTCGTAGCGTCCGATCTCTCCTAGGAGAAACCACGGTTTACTTCTAAACGGTGTGCTCGTATCCACTCATTTCGGGTTCTGCAGCTTCTGGTGACATCTTCTACAAACCCATACAACCATCCGACTCTGTTGCGCCACTTCAACCCCTGAATGACTGGGCTGATGTGAGTGGCCCGGTTCCATGAAAAGGTTGAAGGCACAATTAGCAGATCCTTTGTGCAGGAAAGAGCTGGTGCTGTCAATTTCTGCGCATGTACGCCATAAATATCCTCCTTGGGAAAAGTGTCAAGGCCACAATCTGCGTCAATCAAGTCTATGTTTACACAGGCGCTCGAAGATATCCAACACGAATACTGGCAACGAACCGAGTGGCTCTCCACGAGTTCAGAAACCCAACGTGGTGGCAACATGTGCCGCCTCAATGAGTTGGTCTCAAAAAGTGGCGCAGAAGCGAAGCGGGTGGTCGAGTGCGCTCTCCACAGCTTGACGAAGGGGGTGACTGGCTTGGTACCGGTTCTCACACTCTCAAACCGCTTTGAGAGCAAACATCATCCGCTTCAGAACTCCGACTTCCAATCCTTTTCTTTCTAACATCTAGGAACCACATGAAGCGTGAGCTACCCTGCGTCCATATGTAGTAGCTTCCTATTGCTAGCTTACTTCTCCCTGAGGGCTTTAAACAGAAACCAGTAAACCTGCTTAGACTGGACCTGATTCCGTTTCGTTTCTTCAAACTCACCAACTCCACCGAACAGGCTGTATGCCCAAAAGGCGTGGCCTGTCTGGATCTTGCCGGCCCAACAAGTGACTTGGCAGACACGGATGGACATGGCGCCTCGAAAAAGGTGGAGAAGACCGACGACATGACAACTAAACATGGAATGATAAGCAGAGTGTCTATTTCTAGAAGAGAACACTTATCAAACAAGGAAGGACAAGTGACAAGAGTAAGGTCTCAAGATCCAAGAGAAGCACAAGGAATCTTTTGACATGGGGATAGACGGGGTGAACTTGGTGCAGGATGCTATGAACCAAGCTGTTTTTCGCAGATTCATCGAAATGATCCGAATGACCGCAGCGCGGCAGCGGCCCACAAGCAACGCAGCCCTCGTTGTGTTCGCCCAACGGTTTCCTGTTGATTCAGTGGCTTCGACTCTCCAAAGGTGGGCCGTGGAAGTCGATGAACTCTGCGGACAGCATTGATGTCACCAGCTGAAGCAGCTCTTTGTGGGGGGAAGTCATTCTACGAACGGAGCAAGGACGCTACTAGGTGCTCCTGGCCTTACTACTAGGAGCAA